CAGGATGGGGCCGGTGTGGCCTGCTGTGATGTGCCAGCAGAAGCTGAGGGTCCAAGCGGCTCAGCAGCGGGTGGGAGAGAAGACAGCAGCAGCTTCCGCACACACGTGTCCTCAGCTCAGCCTGCGCACGTGCTAATCGGTCCTGTAGCCTAGCAACCACATAACGAATTTGCTCAGCCACGTGTGCCTCGCTGCGGAGCACGAGCCCCTTCCTTCGGCTTGCGGCGGTGGCTGGAAGGGGGGGACCCGTCTGTGCTGTGTGTGACTCCTGCTTTCCTTGTGTGTTGTCTCCAGCTGCCAACGGGAACACGGATTCCCTGCACCTCCTGATAGACAGCGGGGAGCGGGCGGACATCACCGACGTCATGGACATCCACGGCCAGTGAGTTTGTCCCGATGTTTCTTTTGGGAGTGGCGCAGGCTCAGGCCCCTTGCAGGCTGCCTGGGACCGGGGAGGGAGGGCAGTGCCTGAATGCTGCTGATTCCCAAGCCCGCTCTCCTCCCTGCTGCCTCTCCCACTGCAGAACCCCACTGATGCTGGCGATCATGAATGGCCATGTTGACTGTGTTCACCTCCTCCTGGAGAAGGGGTCCACAGCCGACGCAGCGGACAAGAGGGGAAGGACCGCCCTGCACCGAGGGGTGAGTGCATCCCTGCGACCGGGGCGGGCCTGGAGCCCTGCAGCTTCCGCTCGTCCTCCCGAGCGGAGCCTGCTTGGAGAAGAAGCAGGTGGTTTCTTTTGTTGCAAGAGCCCTCAGTGAAAGAGCCCATTTTCCCTTCCTGAGATGCAGCATTTGAGAAGGAAGCTGTGGAAGAAGGCGGGTAGTTCTGTTGTTAAATGATTGAGGGGTGAGATCTGACCTCCTGGTTTTCTTTCCTGGCCACAGGCTGTGACGGGCTGTGAGGACTGCCTGGCTGCCCTGCTGGACCACGATGCCTTCGTTCTGTGTCGGGATTTCAAAGGCCGGACCCCGATCCACTTTGCGTCGGCGTGCGGGCACTTAGAGATCCTGAGGACCCTGCTGCAGGCAGCCCTCTCTACTGACCCTCTGGACTCTGTGGTGGACTACAGTGGTTACTCACCGATGCACTGGGCTTCTTACAGCGGTAAGGACCTGGGCTGGGCCCCTGCCCACCTCTGCTCTGGCTATTGATGGGGAGGAGGGAGCCGGGAAGAGCCATGTTGTCCCTCTGTCCCCCACTGCTTTGGGAAGCTGTCAGCCCAGCAGTGACTTCAGCCTGAGGGGAAGGACAGCACAAATCTGGGAGGGAGGCAATGAGTTTTTCTCCCTCTGCCAAGCACGTTAAAAAAGGAATGAAATATGAAAACAGTTATTATAGAACAGCTGAGGCTGCTTCCTCCAGGACTGCTGGATTTATAGGATTACTCGGCCGTCGCCTTGGCTGCAGGGAGTGGTGGGACTGATGTGGCAACATCAGGAAGGGATGTCTCAGCATTTCAAAGGGAAGTTAGCAATGTGGCTGTGAAGTCCTTCAGGAGATGATGTGGAATTAGAAGCCTCCTGAAGTGCAGCAGCTTTGCTGCCAGAACGGAAACAAAACCGCTGCCTCTGTGCTGGGGCATGGGTTGGTTTGGGCACTTTGGTGCTGCTGGTCCTGTGCAGCCTCTGGGGCCTCCGGCTCTTGGGACGTGGGGAGAGCCCAGAGGGACCTAGAGCCCCTTCTTGCTCCGTCACAGGCGAAGAACTGCAGACTGATGTATTTCTGTCCCGCTCTCCTCGCAGGGCATGAAGATTGTCTTGAATTGTTACTTGAACACAATCCGTTTGCGTACCTAGAAGGAAACCCCTTTACTCCATTGCACTGTGCAGTGTAAGTGGCGTCTGGGACCTGCCCTGGGTTCTTCCCACCCAGGTGATGTGGGAGAGGGGATACGTGGTCTGAGTGGAGAGCTCCAGACCCTGTCCTTCCTGCCAAGGGCTCTTCCCTGGGCGGCAGCAGCTCCTCAGGGTGGTACCGCCCGCCCATCCCAGCTCCCCTGTGGCAGGGAGGCGGTTGCTGGGCTGCTGGGGGTCCTCGGGGAGCTGTAAAGCAACTTGTCTCGCTGGCTGCGTGCAGCATGGCCGGGGCTGTCACGCACCGGACTCCTGTGCCAGCCGGGTTTCAGCTCGATGGAGCTGGTGGTTCAGCCCTTGCCCGCCCTCTTGGATGGCCCATCTCTGCTCCTTGGTTATGAGGCGTCTCAGGAAATCTCCTGGCTTCTTGCAAGGCTCTGGGCTCCAGTGGGAGAAGGGCTCCATGTTGTCCCTGGCCGCCTTCCTCAGAGGTGTCTGGGGCAGTATGAGCATGATCCCTGGGGTCCCACTGGGCGCAGAGGGGTTTGGGGCTGACGCAATTCCTTGGCTCCAGCTGGCAGAGGAAGGAGTGTGCTGCCCTGGGTGTGGAAGGTGGAGGCATTGCCTTGTTCTGCCTGGGGTGGGCACGGTGCACCCTTGGGACCTGTAGCAGCAGAGGAATGGGCAAGGCTGTTGTCTGGCACGGTACTGTGTTTCCTTGAGTAATACCGAGAAGGGTGAAGGGGTGTTTTAACCCTAAACAGCTCCAGACCAGCTGCTGTTTGCATCCGAGCCCCAGGAGCATGCTGCTCACTCCCACTGCAGACGTGCTAATGCTGCCTAGTCTTGTTCTAACTTCCCTTCTCGTCCCCACCACAGAATTAACAACCAGGACGGCACTGCTGAAATGCTGGTGGAAGCATTAGGTGCCAAGATTGTTAATAGCAGAGATGCCAAAGGAAGGTGAGCGCAGACTTGTCCCTCTCTTGTCACCCCCCGGTGCTGCTGGGTGGTGGCTGTGACTCCCGCAGCGATTTCCACATGACTTCCCATGGCACAAAGGGACTCCGACGTCCCCAAACGTGTCTGTAGGCCTGGGCAGTCTTGCTGGGGTGGGTGCTGTGCCCTCCTCTTTACCCGCCCTCTTGTTTTCCCAGGACACCCCTTCACGCTGCTGCCTTCGCAGACAACATCCATGGTTTACAGCTGCTTCTGCGCCACCAAGCCGAGGTGGACATGACTGACAAGCTGGGGAGGACTCCCCTCATGATGGCTTCTGAGAACGGGCACACTGCAGCAGTCGGTACGTGCTGGCAGCCGCTTTTCCCCAGTACGGGGCGCGAGCCTCCCTGTGCCTCCTCCGTCACCGGGTCCCGTGGGAGCCGGGCTGTCCCTCTCCTCGTAGGCACGCTGGGGCAGCTGCCCCTCTCCTCTGTCCCCTCAGCACATGGCCACTGCCCCACATTGCCGGGCTCTGTGCTGCTGCTTCTCAAAAACAGCTGTCCCTCCTCATTTCAGAGTTCCTGCTGTACCAAGCAAAAGCAAATATAACTGTGCTGGATGTCAACAAGAACACAGCTCTTCACCTGGCCTGCAGCAAGGTAGGGAGACGGCCACTCACAGTCATGATTGCAGTCGCCATCGCCTTCAGCCTTGCCACCTTAATGAGAGGGGTTGTCCACCTACTCCTGGCCCACCAGAGCAGAGGCGAGGGCCCTGGGCTTGCTCTGCCCGCCTGCTCTGCCTGTCTTGACCTCTACAGACGCTCCTGATTCAGTTTTGAGCAGCGCAGGTTGTAGCACAGGCCTGCCTGTACTTTTCCCGGGGACACCCTCTCCGAGCTCAGCGTGCTTCCTGGGGCGTGGTGGGGGCAGGAGGCTTGTGATCCGTGTGTCCACGGAAAGGAGACGCTGCAGGGGAGGTGGAAGGGACAGCAGCTTGTCTTCTCAGGCCCTGCCAAAGTGGTGAACTGCTGTAGAAGCTCGGGTTTAGGGAACGTTTCCGTATCCCGGGGAATCGCGCTCTACTCGGGCAGCACCAGGTCCCCTCCAGTGGCCCTGCCTTCCTGCCTGTGCCCTATAAACAGTCTGGTCTCCTTTCCAGGGCCATGAAAAGTGTGCCTTGTTGATCCTGGGAGAAACCCAAGACCTTGGCCTTATCAATGCAAGTAACAGTGCTCTGCAGATGTGAGTATTTGGACAGCTGGTGCCAGGGGGGAAAAACGGGGCTTTGCTGGGTGGAGGTGATGCGCTGGCGAAGGGGCGGTGGTGGGAGCTCCGCTCCCGCTCGGTGCGAGCAGCGAGCGTGCAAGCAGGTAAGCTCGGGAGCGGTCAGGCCTTGAAGCTGCTCGCAGGGACCCCTGGTTTCAGCACCGGGTGTTAAAGGCTCCGCTGCCGGGTTAACGCTGCCTCTCCCTCTCGCCCCAGGCCGCTCCACATCGCAGCTCGGAACGGGCTGGCCTCCGTCGTCCAGGCCCTGCTCAGCAGAGGTGCCACTGTGCTGGCTGTGGATGAAGAAGGTGCGTGTTCCTCGCGGGCGCCGGGGGGTCAGCGTGATGTCCCTGGGGGACGGGGACTGCCGCGGGAAGCGCGCAGCCGGGATTGGAAGGATTTCCGCTTCCTTAGCACGGCTGAGCAGCGTGTTCTCGGCTTGTGCTGGCCTCCGTCGTCCAGGCCCTGCTCAGCAGAGGTGCCACTGTGCTGGCTGTGGATGAAGAAGGTGCGTGTTCCTCGCGGGCGCCGGGGGGTCAGCGTGATGTCCCTGGGGGACGGGGACTGCCGCGGGAAGCGCCCAGCCGGGATTGGAAGGATTTCCGCTTCCTTAGCACGGCTGAGCAGCGTGTTCTCGGCTTGTGGCCTCGCAGGAGCAGCCTGGGCGAGGACATGATTAGCACCCTGCGATCCCTTGTCAGAGCATTTCCAGGTCCCACAGGTGTTCGAAATATGTCTTTTACCCCCCGTGCATCTTCTGGTGGCTGGCTGGCGCTCCTGCCAGGCACAAAACCAGCCCAGCCTGAGCCAGCAATAAGCTGTTGACTCACTTGCAAGTTGGCAGAAACTGGTTGTTGTGGCCAGAAGCTTTTTCTCCCAGCAGAGTTCTTGCTCTGCTGGAATACCTTTGAGTTGTGAAAAATATCATTGCGTCTGCCGTGCTGCCGGGGCTTCCGAGGCTTTTTATTTGTCTCCTGCTGATCCTGGCACACTTCAAAGCGGTTGCTGCAAATGCAGGGATTGCCCGTGCCCAGAAGCAGGGTCTTTTGAGATAAAGACAAGTAGATGTCCCGGCCCCGCGGCGTAGGGGTGACAACTGCCCCCGTCGAAGTGTTCCCGGGGAAGGCGCC